TTATCTTTTGATTCTTCCCATCCTGTCAGTTTGGTTGGGTTTTTTTTTGGGGGGGGGGGTTAATACTCTTTCGTATCATCTTTCTATTTCCATGCCACTACTTTAGGATAGGTCTTTATTACCGCTTGCTCTAGACTGTTGGAATAACTTCTTGATAGGATTTTCCCACTTCTGTCTTCCAATTCATTTTTCATCCCACTGCCAAAATAATCTCTTATGCGTATAACTAGTCATATTATTCTCCTTAAAAATCTTTGTTGACTTTTTTGCTTTTTAAAAATTTTCTTTATAAAAGCAGTTTTTTATTCTGAACTTGGCACCCCCACCCCCAAGCATTTCCATCCATACATACAGCAGTTCACAAAAAGAGGATTCTATATGAAATCAGGACCATTTCACAGCTCTTGCTTTTGAAAAAAAAAAAGCCCTACATTTCTACACTCCGCTTTCACAACTCTCTTGCCTGTATTTCCTTCTGAACTCTTCTGTGAATTTAAAAAATGTTTCAATGGCCCTTTTTTCTTTGGCATCATAATTACAATGCCTCCTCCCCTCCATTAACCAAGGGAAAAGAGTGGAGGAAAAAGCCTGGTAACAGGTAAGCATAGTCACCTGCCTATAAAAATGTGTGTTTCTGTACCTTGTGTTAATTGCTTCCCTGTTAAGAGGTGGGTAACATTGTTTTGTCACAGGTCTTTGAAGGCCTAGCTGGTCATTGCATTGATATGGAATTCTCAAGCTTTTCAGAGTCTTTTTCTTTGCAGTATTGTCCTTGTATAAAAAATTGTTTTCCTAGTTCTTTTCATTTTACTCTATCGGTTCATACAGCCTGGGATTCTCTGAAGTAATTTTGTTACTTCTTATAGCCCAAGAATATTACATTACAGTCATATATTAGTTTGTTAAGCTGTGCTCCATGCTTGAACTCTATTGTCCCTACACCATCCCTCCTCCCCTTTATAATCTCCCCTTCGGGATAAGAAAGTTGCTGTTTGTAGCGGTTACCTTTTAATTCCTCCTCCCTACCTGTGTTTCTTTATCTTTTATGTACTTCAGTTATGAGAAAGCAATTTCTACTCCCTTCTTCCTCCACTCTACATTAACGTATGCCTCTTTTTGCTTTCCCTCGCTTTCCCCTTTTAATACCCTCAAAACAGAATCAATCCACTCCTAGGACCTTTGGGTTTTTAACTTAAGTCAATAGTCTTTGGAGATATTAAGGTTTTAATGGGATACTTGTTACAGCTTTTTCCAACTGCTCAAATAAATTCACCTTTCTAGGTTTCTCTGGACTCTTATGTTTGTATTTCAAAGTTTTATTAAGCCTCTAGTCTTTTCATCAAAAATGCTTGAAAGTTCTACGTTCCATTAAAGTTGGGTTTTTTTTCTGTAGGATTATACTGTTCTATAGGGTGTTATTCTTGATTGTAAGCCATATATTTTGTATTTTGTAATATTGTGTTCCAAAATCTCTCACTCATAACAGAAGCTACCAGTTCTTGTGTAATCCTGAACATGGTTTCTTAGTACTCCAACGCTTTCTGGCTGTTTGGGGTATTTTTTTCTTTGACTCTGAAACTCTGGATTTGGGCTGTGACATTCCTGGGGACTTTTCCTTTTGGAGTTTCTTTCAGGAAATCTGGTGAATTCTTTCTATTTTTACTTCAGCCTCTGTTTCTAATATTTTTCTCGTTTTTCATTTGATTTCTTGAGATTTAATGTCTAGCCTTTTTTTTTTAAATCATAGTTTTGTGGGCAGCTATGTGGCACAGTGGAGGACCTGAGTTCAAATCCGGCCTCAGACCCATAACACTAGCTATGTGACCCTGGGCAAGTCACTTAACTCCATTGCCTCGACAAATAAAAAAAGAAAAGAAAAAAAGATCACAGTTTTCAGAGAGTTCAGGGATTATTAAATTCTCTCTCCTTGACTTGTTTTGCAAGTGACTTTTTATATCATATACCCTTTTTTCTTTTCTTTTTTTTTAGACTTTTGATTTTGGTCTAATATTTCTTGCTGTCTCTTAGAGTCCTGATTTCTCTTTGATCTCTTCTTAGGTAAAGAGTTGCCACTTGTCTCTTCCAGAGCTGCTTATTCTCCTTCCAACTCTTCCATTGAGCTTTTATCTCATTTTTAGTGTTTTGCTTCATTTTGACTAGGCATTAATGTAGTACTCATAGGAAACCTGTTTTTTCCCTTGGGTCTCTGCTTGCAGTTGTTAGAGAGTTAAATTTGCAATTATTTTTGTTTCTGGTTAATGTTTTCTTTGATTTACTAATCTTCCTGAATGACTGCTTTGTGTCAAGGCCAGGGTGAGGTGTTTGTTACTACTTGGGTTTACCTTGGGCCCCCTGGGTTCTCCTCCCCCTTTCCCCCTTTCCCTCCATCTCCCAGGGTTAGGCCTACCTGGATCTTTGGGGTTAAGAGTATAGGATCTTCATAGTCTTCCCTCTTTGGTGCCTGGGGACAGTGCTAAGGACTTCAAGGCTCTTGGGCCTGAGCTGTCTGTGGCACTATACTGGCTGCTGCTTTCTGGCACTTCCGGAGTCCCTAATCCTTTTTTAAAAAATTTTTATTTTTATTTTCGGTTATAGATTCTCCCTAATTATACATCTGAAGTCATACAAAATGTTGCTTCATTAGCCATGTTCTGAGAGGGAAAATGAGATATATTTTTTTTAAAAAGTGATTCATTCTGCATTCAGAGTCCATTTGTTCCCTATCTGGAGGTGTGGATAGCCTTTTACATCATGAGAACTTTGGAGTTGTGGCAGATTATTGTATTGATTGGAGTTTCTAAGTTCTTCACAGTTAATTATCTTTACAGTATTTCTGTTACTTTGTAGATTGTTCTAGTTCTGCTCACTTCACTTTGCATCAGTTTATTTAAGTCTTCTCGGGTTTTTCTGAAGCCATCCTCTTCATTTGTTATAGCAACAATGGCATTGCATCTTACTCATCTGCAATAACTTGTTCAGCCATTCTCCAGTTGACTAGCATCCCTTCAGTTTCCAATTCTTTGTCACCACAGAAAGAGCTGCTATAAATGTTTTTGTACGTGATGGGTTTTTTCCTTTTTTTTTTTAATCTCCTTAGGGTATATACCTAGTGATGGTATTGTTTGGTTAAAAGGTATGCACAGTTTTATAGACGTTTGGGCATAGTTCCAAAATGTTTTCCTCCTGAATATTCTAACTAACCCTGGTACTTTCTCAAGGGAATCCTCCACTCTTGCTGACTCTGGAAACAGAACCTTATGTGCTCATCATTAGCATTTACTTTGCTTGAGGGACCCCTTTCTTATTGTTTAAGGGCTTCTGACTGACTTTTTGTGCAGTTTTGGTGTGGAAGGTGTCACTTATTTTGATTCCCTTTGGTTGTCTTGATAATTATTCAGCCTCGTTCAAAATTGAGGGTTTTGGCAGAATTGGTGTCCAAGAGCTCTGGGTATCCTATATCCTGTTCAGGCAGCCATCTTGGCAGGAAGATGACTTCCTCAGTAAAAGTGAGACTCTTCTGCTCCCTACACACAGCAGACTTGAGGCAAATTGGATTATTCTTTATCCCTCAAATACTGCACTGGGCATATTTCTGTGCCTTGCTCCCTTTGCCTGGAACATCTTCTGTTTTTCTGTTGAATTCCTTTTTTTCTTCCCCTCTGTAGAATTCATCTCCTAAACCCCAGCCTAAAGGCCAGTGTCTTTCAGGGAGCCTTCCCTGATTCTCTTCTCCATCGACAGTGACCTTCACCTTTGAACGTAACAACATTTGGTATCTCTCTATTGCATGTACGTGATAGTGTATAGTTTAGTTGTCTCTCTCCCTTAGCACCCAGCAAAGTGTTCTGTACACAGTACCGCGTAATGGGGTTAGTTTTGTCTGTTGTTTGGTTTTCTTTTTTTAATGAAAGAGAATTTGAACAATTTCCAGTAACTCTGGGACTGACTAACACATTGGAATGAGTAGCTTGTTGGGATAGAGTTTTTAAAAACAAATATAAAGTACTTTGGAGGTCAGGAAGACCTTGTGTTTGGGAACATGGGCCTTGGGACACTGGATGAGAAACTCTTGGCTTAGCCACATTTAATTTAAACATTCAAATGGAAATGTACTAGGTATTGCCGGGGGAAAGGCATGGCTGAAGATAGGGAAATGAAGACAGTTGAAGGAAGATTGCCTGGTGAAACTTTAATTCGGTGAAATTTTTTTTTTAAAGTTAGTATCTCGATAGCCTGTCTAAGATGAGATAGGGAACTGATTCCATAACTGCTTTCCTTCTCTAGGGATAGGCCTTCAATTTATTGGGTAGTAGGCTTATTACAGGTTCAGGAGCAGATCCACAATGTGACTTTTTGCAGCTATGGCCTGTTGGTCAGAAACCATTTTGGGTAGTGGTTCAGTGGTTGGGGCACTGGCTCAGTGGTCAAAACCCAGACTGGGGCAGACATTCAGTGGTCAGAGCCTAGGCTGGGGAAGTGGTTTTACTGTTCGGGGTCCAGGTTGGGACAGTGGTTCCGTGGCTGGGGCCCAGATTGGGGCAGGTTCAATGGTCAGGGCCAAGGTTGAGGAAGTGGTTCAGTGGTCGGGGCCCAGGCTGGGGCAGTGGTTCAATGGTTGGGGCCCTGGTTGGGGCAGTGCTTTGGTGACTGGGGCCCATGTTAGGGCAGCGGTTCAGAAGTTGGGGCCCTGATTGAGACTGCGGCTCAGTGTATCAGAGTCATTGTGGGGGACTGGGGGATCACTTCTCCTATTCTTTCCTATCAGTTGGTTTTTGGGTCATAGAATATAAGGCCCTACATATTCCTCTTACCCCATTCCTTGACCCTTGCCTGGGTGAGGGCAGTTTCCTTGCCCCACTTGTCTCACCTCAGAATAGGGGGTGGGGAAAGATGTCTTAAATCATCTAGCTGGGGGAAGGGAGGGAAAGAGGGAAAGAGATCACTATAGGTAGTATTGGTTCAGGTTGTCTGACCCTCGATCCCTGGCCCCATATCCCCAGATGGCCCACTGTGTGACCTCGGTACAGCTGTCCATCTCCTGTGACCATCTCATCGATAAAGACGTTGGCTCGAAGTCCGACCCACTCTGTGTCCTGCTACAGGATGTGGGTGGGGGCAACTGGGCTGAGGTGAGGAAGCTGAGGTACATAGAAGGAGGGAAAGGGGGACTGGACCTTGGAGTAAGTGGGGGTGGAAAGGGCTGAAGGGTTAAATACCTGTACCCATTGGTTTTGGGCCAGTTACCCCAGGGATGGGGGTAGGAGAGTTATCCCTTAGGTATGGTTCTCTGATGAGAACTAGAGAGGCCGACCAATCCTGCTCTCAAGTAGCCTCATTGATCTACATAGATGGGACCAAGTTACGTGAGAAGGTGAGCACAGGAGAAAAAACAGCTGTCATTGCATGGCATGGAAGTTCTAGAGAAGTGGGTTATTCATGCCAGGGCAGAGGTTGTGGTCCCTTGGGAAGGTTGCGTCAGGACGTGGGATCACTTAGGAACAAAGGCAGGGGAGAAGTGAGGGGATTCTTGTCCTTACTAAAGTGGGGCCCTAACTACATCACCAACAAGCTCCTCCTTAGGAGGTCCCTGGTGGGCTTAGTGACGTCCCATTTTGGCTGTGCCTCCTAGCTCTGTCGGACAGAGCGTGTCCAGAACTGTTCCAGCCCTGAGTTTTCTAGACCACTGCCAATCGACTATCACTTTGAAACAGTCCAGAAGTTGCGTTTTGGTGTCTATGACATTGACAACAAGACTCCTGAGCTGGGAGATGATGACTTCTTAGGGGGAGCCGAGTGCACCCTAGGACAGGTACGGTAAAATAGCTGAGGGCTGTGGTACAGGTATTGGTGAGAGGGAGGTGCTCCTCTAGGGCAAAATCAGGGAGGACAAGGTTGTTTAAGGTGAAAGGCAGTACAGCTGCTTATGGGGGGGGTAGTAGCTGACTAGGTATGAGATGGTCCTAGAAGGGTTGTATCATGGCAGAGTCTAGAGCGAGGAGTAAGAATTCTGTCTTAGCTTCCAGTATTTACATGTTATCCAGGGAAATGGAGTTCTGGGGGCCCTTGGATCTGTCTCAAATTCCTAAGAGCATCAGGCCCTGTTTCAGTTGAGCTGAGTCTGAGGGATTATCCAGGCCCTAGGAATGACTTTGGCTCCATCACCATCCTCAGATTGTATCCAGCCAGACGGTGACCCTACCCCTAATGTTGAAGCCTGGGAAGCCTGCTGGGCAAGGAACCATCACGGTGAGGAAGTATGGTACTGGGGAATAGAGGAGCTTCTGGGTCTATCCTGTGGCATACACGTCACTGAACTGAGGTTGCAAGAGAAACTGCTCCAGGTTGACTCTTAGCCTTCCCCTCACACCTAGATCTCAGCCCAGGAGGTGAAGGACACTCGAGTGGTGACTATGGAAGTGGAGGCCAGGAACCTGGACAAGAAGGTTGGGGGGAAAGTTTCGAAGAAACGGGGAGGGGGTAGTTAGCCCAGCTTGCCTCAGAAAAGGGAATTGACCAATTCTGGCAAGAGAATGGGAGATTTTAACCCTAGACATGTTGAATCTTTTTTTTTTCCCATTTGTGCTATCAGAGACATTGTTAGTGTTTTCTTGGTTCCATCAGGACCTTCTGGGCAAATCTGATCCATTCCTAGAGTTTTATCGACAGAGTGATGGAAAGTGGCATCTGGTCTACAGATCTGAGGTGTGTGTGGGGCCTGTTAAGGGAAGAGTGAGTGCTTTAGCTCATGTCCTGGCCTGCCATTGTAGGTGGAGAGCTAGCATTTGGTGGGAAGAGATGTCCTGCCCTGTGGGTTGGGGTTAGAGTGGACAGGACTGAGATTCAAAGAGTCATAACTTTGCATACCCTCTTCCCCAGGTGATTAAGAACAATCTGAACCCTACATGGAGCCTTCAGTGTTCCTTTGCAGCGTTTCTGTGAGGGAGACCCCAGCCTGCCTATCCAGGTGAGAGGAGAAAGACATCTTGGTGTCCTATGCCAGGGCTGAGCCCCACAGCCCAGAAGCCTTTTCATGGGGATTTCTGCCCAAAATGACTAATCAGTCTCCATGATAACTCTTTATGTTGCACTTAAAGTTTATAAAACGTTATTCCCCTTTTATGGATGAGTAAATGAGGCTTGGTGACATTGTGAGTTACCCAAGGTCACAGCTGTTAGACTTGGGATACAAATTCAGTTCTCTCAGGGTTCCCAATCCAATGTTCTCTCCACCTCCCATCCAGGTGCGCTGCTCAGACTATGACAGTGATGGCTCTCATGACCTCATTGGCTCCTTCCAGACCAATTTGACACAGCTGCAGGGTTCCCCAGTAAGTAGCCCACTATACTGTACTACTATACTATGCCTACTCTACACATTGTTTGAATGGGAATACTGGGACAGGTGATGGGGGGTTGGGGGGTAGAGGTCCCAGTCTAGAGTTCCATAATTGGATTTCTAGTATATCACAGTCCCCAAATCTAATCTTCCATATTTATTTACTTTCCCTCCCTCCCCAACAACAAATCCCTCTATCTTCTCCCTGTCAGGTGGAATTTGACTGTATTCATCCCGAGAAGAAGCAGAAAAAGAAGAGTTATAAGAATTCTGGGACCATCTGGGTTAAGGTCTGTCAGGTAGGGCTCTTTCTTCCACCCTCCCAGACCTCTTAAGCAGTGCCCCTGATCTTGACCCCACTTTCCTCCTTGGCCACCAGATTGAGGCAGAGTTCTCTTTCTTGGATTATGTGATGGGTGGCTGCCAGATCAATTTCACAGTGAGTACTCGGTGGACAGTGGGAAACTGATTGTAGGGAAGGAGAGAGGGCTTCCCCCAGATGTAGTCATGTCTTCCTCTGCCTTCCAGGTGGGTATGGACTTCACAGGATCCAATGGGGACCCTTCCTCTCCAGATTCCCTGCACTACCTGAGCCCCTCTGGTGTCAATGAGTACCTGACAGCTCTGTGGAGTGTGGGCTGTGTGGTACAGGATTATGACACGTGAGTCCAGCCTTAGTGATCACACACCCCAGACAGACCCGTTATGGATTCCTTATCAGATGTCCTCTTTCATATCTCAACCCCTGGGGGTGGGGGCAAAGGTGTAAGTGTGGGTAAGGACTCCATTACTTCCCCTCGACTCCTCTGTCTTCCTCCCACAGGGACAAACTGTTCCCGGCTTTTGGATTTGGGGCTCAAGTGCCCCCTGATTGGCAGGTGCGCCCCTCCCTCATCTCTCACCTTTGACCTCAGGGTCGGGGAGTGGTCACTGTCCTGGTGAGGGAGGGGTCAGGGAAGAACTGGATTTTTAACTGAGACATTAGAGAGGATCTAGTCTAGCCTCCTCATTTTACAGAGGAGGAAACAAAGCCTGAGGAAGAAGAGTGACCTCACCCTTGCTAGTAGTTAGGGAATATCAGAATTAGGATGCAAAGCTATTCTTATTTCCACACTCAGGTCTCTCATGGATTTGCCTTGAACTTCAATTCCAATAACCCTTACTGCTCAGGTAAATTTTTATCCTTACTCTAGCTTCTCTCTTTCTCCCAAATCCATGTTCCACCTTCCTTTCTGGCCATTCTCCAGGCATCCAGGGTATTGTAGATGCCTATCGCCAGGCCCTGCCCCAGGTCCGACTCTATGGCCCCACCAATTTCGCTCCCATCATCAACCATGTAGCCCAGTTTGCCACCCAGGCTGCACAGCAAGGAACTGCCGCGGTGAGAAGGGCCCGTGGTACTTGGGATATCCTGTGGTACATGAGCAGGGAGGATATGGGGTGGCTTTGGGGATAAGACCCCTCTTCATGACACCTATGTTTTTGACCCTTCAGCAATACTTTGTGCTACTCCTGCTGACGGATGGGGCTGTATCAGACGTTGAGGCTACGAAGGAGGCTGTGGTCCGGGCCTCACACCTGCCTGTGTCCATCATCATCGTGGGTGTTGGGGGTGCTGACTTCACAGCCATGAAGGAGCTAGATGGGGATGGGGGTCCTTTGCGTGGCCGCAGTGGAGAGGCTGTTGCCCGAGACATTGTCCAATTTGTGCCTTTCCGCCAATTTCAGAATGTGAGCTAAGGGGATGGGCTCTGGAATTGGAAGGAAGACAGATCAACCTGGGTTGGGAGAAGGATCAGCTAATCTTTTACCTGATGTCTCTCACTTCCACAGGCCCCTCGAGAGGCACTGGCCCAAGCAGTCCTTGCAGAGGTGCCCCAGCAGCTTGTATCTTATTTTAAGGCGCGGGGCTTGGCTCCCCACAAGGCCCCAGTGCTGCCTGCCAAGGACCCAGCACCACCCCCCAACAACTAATGGACCACGGCACCAGCTGTCTTTCTGCACATGACTAGTTTCTGTGCCTCTTGCTTCTCCCATCAGTGGGAGGAGGAACAGAGCACCTGTCTCAGGTGTGGACATTTGTGCTTGCTGCTTTGGATTATATGTATGCCATAGGCCAGGACACTCTCAAGCCAACCTGGCCCCACTATATTTTGTATCTTTTTATATTTGTATACATTATGCTGCTTCTGCATTCCTCTCTTCATGTACACATACCCCTGTGCTTAATAAAGATCAATCAAAACTGAACTTCTGTCTACCTGTTCTGATGAAGGCCCAGGGAAAAGAATCATTCTTAGTCAATACCATACAAGAGACTTTTGAATGCTGTTTGGGCCCTTTTACTGAGCTGTAACTATAGAGCCTTCTGTGTGTGCAAAGGCCCTGTGCTCCTCTTTTCAAAGGGGAAATGGGATGATTAATGACCATTTTCTGGGTATATTAGAGGATTCTTACTCACCTGTTGGGTGAACTAGATGACTGCAAGGACCCTTTAACTTGGAGATTCAGTGATGTTCCCTGGCCTCATGAAGATGAGTCTAGCAGGGGCATGGCTACAAATGATACACTTTTTGGTGCTTTAAAGTTTACAGAGTACCTTTCCTATAACAATTCTGTGAGATAATGCAAGTGTTAATCCCATTTTACAGGAGGAAAAACATACCTAGGAAAGGGAAATGAGTTGGTTAAGATCACAAGCTAGGGCAGTGCAATTTAGTCCTCTTATTCTAGGCCTAGAAATTTTTCTTATGTTTCACTGGGGCTCTCAGGCAACAGTGGATAAGTACAAAAGAGGCAGAAAGGAGAGAATTAGCCAGCCTTCCAGTCCCAAGAGCACTCGTGGGCCCAAAATGCCCCAGTGCAGCAATACCAACATTGTATCAACGCACCAAATCTGGAAGCATAATTTTGGATTGGTCAGTTTTCAAGCCCAAACATCACTCAAGCTTTACTGCAGAGCTAAGGTGTGAGAGCTTCCTGGAAGCTGTGGCAACACTTTATTGGTCTTTTCCAAAGGTGAATTTAACTTAAACCATTTGTTGACGAATTTCATGCCATGCACATTATGGAAGAGCCTATTGTTTTGTATTAGCCTTATCTAAGTGAGCTGATGATAGGCCCCAGCCAGTGAAGGGGAGGGGAATGGGGAACTCCTGGCTAAGATTCCCCCACAGTCCAAAATGAGCATTGAAATGTGCTAAATTCAACAGAAGAATATATGTGAGTGTAGTCACAAGCAAATTTACCAGCACAGTACTCTAACTCAGGCTCACACAGGTAGAGACTAGCCAACCCTGGGTTTGATTTTTAAATCTAATACTTATTTTCCTATGCTGCCTCAGCAGGGAGAAGAAAGTAGGAAACCTAGCTCTGAATCTTATGGTCCTGCTCTGAACCTTGGTCTTTTCCTACGAAAGGAGAGCCCCCATGGCTCTGTCCATTTGTACCCACTGCCATGAAGTATAATGGGCGTGTGCCTGATCCAGCTGCATTACTATTATTTAGGTGATCTCTAAAGTCCTTTCCAGTCCTATATCCTGTGATCTCAGCTGAGCTTTTATTTGGAGCAGAGATGAGATATCAGGGTGGGGAACCTGATGGCTTCAAGGCCACAAGTGGCCCTTTAGGTCCCCAAGTACAGCCCTTTGAATCCAAGACAAAGGGCCTCTCTTGAAGACCTAGAGGGCCACATGTGGCTGGGATAGCTCCTGCATCTGCAATACCAGCACAGCTCTGGACTTGGTCTTTTCAGTCTAGTGGTGGTTGTGACTGCATCAATAGGTGCCTTGGGGGCAGCTAGGTGGCACAGTGGATAGAGTACCGGCCCTGGATTCAGGAGGACCCGAGTTCAATTCCGGCCTCAGCCACATAACACGTAATAGCTGTGTGACCCTGGGCAAGTCACTTCACCCCATTGCCTAGCCAAAAAAACAAAAACAAAAAATAGGAGCCTTGGGTTTGGTCCACCATGAAGGTATTAAGGCACGACTTCTCATCCCCACAAAAATGAGGGTTAGGGAGAACTGCAAAGGAAGATAGTGATAGGAACTCATTTGTATTGTGGGGAATGGGGCTTCAGGAAAGCTACTGAGCTGAATCTGAGAAACAAGGTTCTCGGGGCTCAACCTGAGACATTCTATAATTTGTGCATCTGCCAGGCAAAGGAGACTGCACAGAAGGCTCTTAGGAGCCAAAGCTTAGGAAAGAGCAGTGAAGCTGTAGTTTGAGCTAACATACTGTTATTCATAAATGCAAACACTTTTGGGGGGGGAGTGAGGCAATCAGGGTTAAGTGACTTGCCCAGGGTCACACAGCTAGTGTATCATGTCTGAGCCCACATTTGAACTCAGGTCCTCCTGATTCCAGGGCCAGTACTCTGTCCACTGTGCCATCTAGCTGCCTTTTTTTTTTTTAAGGCAATTGGGGTTAAGCAATTTGTCCAGGGTCACATAGCTAATGTCAAGTGTTTGGTCTGAGGCCAGATTTGAATTCAGGTCCTCCTGACTTAAGGGCCAGTGCTCTATCCACTGCACCACCTAGCTGCCCCCCAAATACATCTTTCAAGTAGTTCTGGGGGAGACTACCATTATTTTACACAGCAGATTTTTGGATACAGGGCAGATTTGCCCCCTGAGGATGTATGGGATTTTTTTAAAAGATGGCCCAGCTGACTAAGGAGATTACAACTAATCCCATTTGGATGCAAAATTTACACAGGACCGAACTCCTTATGGTCATTGGCCACAATTCATCTCGGCATCTCCCTTCTACCACAAAACACCAGTCCTGTGAAAGCAGGTGTTCAATAAATGTTGAGTCAAAGATGAATAAAAACCAAAGCATTGACAATAAAGCAGAGATCATTATCTCCTCTTTTGATTCTGCATCTGGAACATTCAGGGGTGGAAGCCTCAGCAGGAGCTAACTGATGAAGGGGACATGAGTAACAGAGATCGCAGTCATCCTCGAGTCTGGGTGTGTGTGTGTGTGTGTGTGTGTGTGTGTGTGTGTGTGTGTGTGTGTGTGTGTGAAGTCTCTTCACAGTCACTGTGTAATGTGTACCATGCACTGAGGGTTGAAACGTGAAGCCAAAATAATTTGCCCAAGGTAGTATAAAAGCAAAATATGACAGGAATGAGCTTTGGCCCAAGGAGGCTATTTTGGAAAAGTATAGGAGATATCATTGTCTCCAAGACATCCAGTACTGTTGGAATAGTGGTAGGTAGAGACACTGACCACAGCAGACCAGGGGTGAAAAGAAGAAAAAAGTTAGCTTATAGAATGTTAAAAAAAAAAAACAGAAGGGGGCCAATCCACTCGATTTTTCCAGCTCTGGTTTGACTGTCAGAGGAGGCCTAGAAAGAAGTTTGCTTGTGGTAGACCTGGGACTAGAACCCAAACTTCTTGATACATAATCCAGAGCTCTTTCTGCTCAAGGAAAAAGTTATTCAAACTCTCCTGCCCAAAGAAAGGAGACCTATGATAAATGGTGGCAAGTTCATAGGATTAGTTTCCGAGAGGGAAAATAGGTGGCTTCCTCTAGACTGAAATCCAGGTGGGCTCTTGTTTGGAGAATGTGAGTATTTGTCATTCTCCCAAGGAGAGAATTAGACACCCACAGACCTATTCCCCCCAGTCCCTAGCTTCCCATGAAGAGATCCCTGAAATCTGCTCATATGGAATTAGCAGGAGGTTTACTGAAGAGTAGTAGTAGGTTCCCCCTTTCTCTTCTTTTGTCCTATCTTCTCTCCTGCATTATCATGAGTCCGAAGCCCATGGGCCCGCACGCGGTATAAGCAGGTGAAACGTGGGTGTCCCCAGTTGCTGAGTATCTGTATCTTCACCTTTGGGAAGGCCATGGGGGGCACATTCTAGGGAGAAAGACAGAGGCCAGAGTCCCAAGCCCTTCTTATTCTGGATTAGTCAGTACCGAAGTGCCGGCGATAGCCCTTCCCGATGGTGCCTCAACCCACTTCCCAATCTCCTCCCCAAGCCCTTTTCTCACCTTCAGATGGAATGTCTGAATCTCTGATTTCTCCCCATCAAAGGTGAATTTTCCCAAGAGAATTTCAGTCTTGTCATCACCCTCAATGCCCTGGGATAGTGGGGAGGTAGAGACACAATGAGAGTCTGGTGAAATCAGAAAGGTATCCAAGATGTGTCAATCCCACAGCCCCATCCTTTCCTTCCCAAGCAGAAGTTTGATCAGTTCTCCTTAGGGACCTGACACTGGGGGACCTCACAGACCAGTCCTCAGTCCTACTCACATAGACAGCAAAATCCTTGGGGGCACTGCTAGCACCTCCAGTGTGGGCCACGCTTGATGGTGGGTACTGCAGGGTGATGTCACTTAGCTGAACTAGGCCAGGCAGCCTGATGACCACCTGGCCCTTAGCACCCTGGAAGGCCCAGCAGTTCCCAGGGAAGACATCAGGCTAGAGAAGTGATGACACAAATATTACATAAGGTCAGACCAGTACCCCACAGGATCATAGGGTTTAGAGCTTCAAGATACCTTGGAGAACATTCAATTCGCTCATTTTAAAAATGAGGAAACAGGCTCAGAGACATTAAGTGACTTGCTAATGGTAATCATCATCATTTTCAGAGCACTTTAAGGTTTGTAAAGCACTAAACAAATCTTACCTCGTTTAAACAATCCCAGGAGGTAGGTACTGTTATCCCCATTTTATAGATGGAAAAACTAAGGCAGACAGCACTTAAGTGACTTGCTCAGGGGTTACATAGTTAGAAAGTGTCTGAGGTATAAAACCTAGTAATGACAGGACTGGAATTTGAATCCAGGACCCTTCACATTAGAACCCACTACCAGTCCTGAATGACCAAAAGGGAGCTCCGTGAACCTGCCACATCCATCCATCCATTCAGAGAACCTGCCTCTGCCCCATCCACACTGACGAGCATCTTCCTCACTTTTTTCTAGATTTGTCTGATTTTCGGCTTATAGACCCCTCCCCACCTGAGGGTTACTTTGAGCCTGGTGACCTTGAAGATACACTAGATCCAGGGAGTATATCCCCCTTGACTGTCCCAGTTCCTCACAGGGTCCTTCAGTACCCACTCTACTCTCTTTCACTGGGTTTCAGGTTCCCCTCATACCTCCAGGATGACTGTGGGGGGCTTGGCATAATTCCAGAAGCTGAACCGATTCCAGAAATAAGCTGTACCCCTGTCCTCATAGTCATGTGATGTTTTGTCTAGGTCGATGGAAGCCCCTGCAACAGCCA